TAGATTTAGGCAGGACTTCTCCCCCTTGGAAGGTGAAAAAATGATCTATTTTTCTTTGTTAATTACACTATTAACTTTACTGAAAATCAGTGAAAGTGAACGGGCTGAAAATTTGACCCTAAAATATATGTGCGAGGCAAGGTGCCAAGAAGGACTGAAACAGGTGTAAGTTCTGTTTTCTTAGCAGGAAAGGCAGCAATTGTGAAAGCTCAAGGATATCTCCACTGGGTGGTAAAGCTGACAGCAGAAAATCAAAGAAACCTTAGCACTAAGGCAACAATGTAACAAAAAATATGTGTCAGCTCTCCATGGCCATGCAGATTATCACTCAGATAAGAGTGTGATAGAGGTTAAGAATTCTTTCCCAGTACGGTGTTGATACTGCTTAAGCTTTAATCTGTTGTTCTTTGCCTTTTGGATCTTTTGCTTCAGAACACAAACACTAATAAGTTGACAAAAGCCGTGTTTGCACATTATAGCTACTTGCAGACTAGCGTTTCAAGTTCAAGTTTAGACATATGAGCACACAAAGCAAAATGAAGTGGAAAGCTGTGATTTTAATGGGGATTTAATCTCCTTTGTTCTTTGACCTTTTGTGGCTCTCAGAATACATCAACACTTCTGTTGCATGAATTGCCTTATTGGCTTAGTTAATGCTGATACAGCCAAGTAAGCATTCAGGAGCTACTAGAAGTTTAAGTTTTGATGATATTTTGCACTATTTCTAGCAGCAAGTGCTACCCAATGGGGTTTAAATCCTGTGACTCAGCTGAGATCCCAAGGGCAGTGACTCCTGCCTGCCGCTGGACAGAACCAGCCTCATACCCCAACTACAAAGCAACTGCTCAAGCAGCGCCTGAGTCTATGGGTACCTCCAGGTCTGCTATGCATCTTCTCTGTGGAAGGCTAGGCCAGAAAAAGGCAGAATTGTGCTTGAGTAGAACTATAACATCTCATAACATACCTTTTTCGAGCCTGATTATTAAGGAAATAACACACTGTACTTTCAGTGTATATAATAGTTTTGTTTCCCCTTCTCTTTTATGAATCACTACAGAAGAAATCTCTAACAGAAAGAAGCAGCTCATTGAAGTTCTCCATAAAAGCGATCAGTCAAGCTCAAACCAGCAATAATTTGTGCATTAGCTATATGATGACAAGTTCTCTCAGACTAGTTCTCTCTTCAAGAAAACCAAGCTTCCAGTTGCAAGCTATGAGAACTATTCTGGGATTTCTCATCACAATCCACCTCCCACATGTGCTCTCCTCTCAGAAATTTAGCTATGACTTAATGGTACATTCTAAATAAATTAGGGGATTCTCTCCATGTATTTGTGTATCCAAGCCGCAATCACAATTTGGAATAGTAGGCTATAACAAGAATATCATATAGGAGAAAAATATCTGGCAGGTGAAGATTTTTACTTTCAGACTTTGAAAGGAGAGAGATCATTGGCATCAATGCTTCATATCCTTTGAGATAAACAAGAGAAAAACCACAAATGGGTATTTATTAGCTGTAGCAGTAAAGAAAGGCTTGCAGCTTGTATGAATCGGGAGCAAAATAAAAGCTGTGGGAGTAATGTTGGGGCTTTTCATTTAAGTGGCTCAATTCCAAGGGGCAGAAAGGTTAAACCTATGGAAAGTGTTAAACCTAAATTACATGGAAAGAATCAACAAGATTAAGGAGTATCCTAGGTATAAAACATTAGAGAAATGACTGAGTTCAGTAATAACATGAGTTACAGGCCAGTGACAGCTGTGATGGCAGAATTGTCCATGGGATCAAGAAGAGAGGTAGCAGAAGGAGTGATTGGGAGTACTGGGAGGGTTCTGTTACAGCCAGGTGGGCTTGAACATCCTAGCTACGATAAAGAGCCTCAGATGTGCTTTCCTCCCTCAGTGAAATTTTTAAAGCTCAATCTTGTCATATTTGAAAGGAGAAACCCTTTTGTCTTCCTTCTCCATGATGGTTTTATAAGGCAAGTCTAGCTTCTGTCTGGATATCACCAGTTCTTCGTATTTACTGCAATTATGCCACAGCTGCCTTGAGAATAAACTTCAGTCAGTTCTCATTTTAATTTTTGTGACTATGTATTTATTTTTCAGAAGACTGGAGGCAGGAAAAAATTAGGAGACCAGAAAAGACCCTGTCTTAGGTATGTCATATATACACATATATCTGAAAATTAAGACGTATGACCTGCTGTTGTTTTAGAATTCCCAAACTAGAGTAGCTTTCTTGACTGCCAGCTATTACCAGCTGTCAGACATAGTTCTCACACTTCATAAGGCTGACTTTCACACTGGTGCTATTTTCTTTAACAGTTAATAAATTCCATCCAAATCTCATAGTGTTTCACATAGCTAGCTGAAGAATACCTCTGATAAAGCATGCTTGTGTTGCTTAACAGACCTCCATGGAATGCCATGACAGCTTTTTCTAGGAAGGAAGTCTAGATAATGTTTGTTAACTGTGAATGCTGAAACCATACAATTAAATAAGCAGCGAATATCCTGCAGAAGGATAGAAAGAAAGTAACTACTGTAACTGAGCTAATTTTTTAGAGAAAGTCAGTCACCTATTTCAAGATCTGATTTGGTTAAATAATGGCATTGGTATGCCTAGTACCAAATATAAATAAAATAATGCATCACATTGGGGGAAAAAATTTTCTACCTTTTTTTTGTGAATTTTATCTCTTCCAAAAGAACTAAATTAATGGAATTGTTTTTGGAAAATCGTGATTAGCCTTGCTGAACTGTATACTATATATTTGCTGAGACATTACAAGGTTGCCATCTGTCGTCTTTCAAGTTAGAGTGAAGTCAAAGCAGACTCACAATACCCAGGCATCTCTCTCTTTGGAAATAAAGATAATTTCTCATATTCTTATAAATATGGAAAAGGCTAGAATAGCTTACAAGACTGCAGCTTCTTCTCTAGTTGAATAGCCTTCAAATGTAAGAACATAAGGAATTCCCTTCTGGGTCACATCAGTGAGCCACCTAGTCCAGTGTTATATCTTAGACTGTGACAATGTGAGATGTTGTTCAAGTAAAGTCCATGACCCTGGGGCAGTATCTGTGGTTCCCCTTCCCTCAGTACTGCCCAGCATCCAAAATTGTTGCACTAGGAGTGTTAGAGGGTACAAGCCTGCCTAGTCCTTATAAAGTCCATATATAGGCTTGCTGTCCTTGATTTTGCCTAATCCCCTTGAATCTCCTGATAGTATTAGCTTCCACAGTCTCTCACGGCAGCAGCAAGTTTCAGAAGTTCAACACCTGCTGTGTAAAGAGGAACTTTCTGTCTGTTTAAAAGAGATACTATTTGCTTTGGGTGCCCCCACATCTCTTGTATTGCAGGATTTACTGATTAATACTTCTGCATTTACTACAACTATCATCTTCATGATTTTGTAAACCTGAATCATACCCCCCTCCTCCAGCTCTGTCTCCAGACTGAGGAAATACATTCTTCTCCTTATGAGACAGCTGTTTCTGCCCCTTGATCATTTCAGGTGCTCTTCTCTCTGCTGACATTAGCTTCAGTCCACTCTTCTTGAGAGATGTGGGCATGAGGCTGCATGACACAGTTAAAGATGCGCTCTCTCCAAGGTCTTAAATAATGACAGCATGAAGTCCTTACGGTAATTTATACTGAAGCTCATCTGCTAGGTTTGACCCAGGTTCATGAGGTCCCTTTAGAATTCCTCACAATTAGTCTGGCATTTGACTATCCAACAGAGCTGGGTATCACTTGCATCCTTGGAGATGTCACTGTTCACTGCCCTTTCTGTGTCACTGATGAAGATAATAAAATCTGTCCTTGTGCCAATCTTTGGAGGACCCCATTGCAGAATCTCTTCATTCTTTTGCTTGCCATCCTTTAACCAGATTTAAACCCATGGATAAAACATTTTTCATGTCCCATAGAAAATTAATTTTTTTAAGCATATCATTTTGAAATACAGTTGATGTATTTCAGGACATAATAAGAAGATATTGCTGCATTTTTTATTTAATTTTAATTATAGATCTCAAATGTTTGTATTTGGGTAATCTAGAGTCTCATACAGAAATACTGGTGGAACAGGCTGATAGTCTTCAGGAAAAACTTGTAGATAACAGTTTGGAGCCCCCATATACTTGTTTAGACGACCTGCATACCAAGGTCTGCACCTGTGCTATGTCTCAGGGAGCTTTTCCTCTTATTTGTCACTCTCTTGAGATCCTTTTGATCCCTTTTGACCTTAGAATTCAGTTGTCCAACCTCTGACAATCTGGATTAATTTAACTGAACTAATCTCTGTCTTACCTGGAAATGGGATAATTCAGCAGAAGTGTAATGAATTTACAGAAATGTATTTGAGAGAATTTGGCCTGAAGTATGCAGTAATGTACAAAAATAAATAACACTTTTAAAAAACAAATCAAATTACTTTGTGGGAAAGAGAGAATGTTTAAAGATATTCTAACATCTTTGTGTTTCCTGCTAGTCTCTTTTGGATCATGAAAAAAATGTAAACTTCAGAGATTAAAAATTCTTGAGCTCCTTTAACTCTGTGTGTGTCTCCGTACCATGTAGATTTCAATGGCTTTTTCCTGTTCCAGTACTTGCTTATTGTCTATTGCCAGTTACCAGTCATTTACTAATAATCCTATTCTGGCATCATAAATGGACATGGCCTTTTCTGCTCAATGTTTTGGTAAGGAGACATTCTCAGAATGACTAAAGAAGACAGTAAATACTAATGCTGCTGAAACTAGAAGCTCCACTGCTATAGCGAAACAGCTTGAGAAGAAAGAGTTAGACGTCTCGTGAGTAAACAGCTAGAAAATGTTTCCACAGGAAAAGCGTCATAATCTGACTTGGATTGTTTCTCTAAAGAAGCAGTTTCAAGGCCATAGGTCTTCTTAAAAAGTATCTAATGATCCACACATTACATTAAAATGTGTTATCATTTTGTTACTGCAAATCAGAGATCTGACCTGAAAAATCTGAAGAAAATAATCCTTTTATTTTGTATATGCTTAGACATTGTATGACCATAGCAGTGGATACAGTTGTCTAAACAATTCATTACTTGCAATAATGTTTTCAGCACTGCTAATAAAAAGACAAACATAATGACTTTTTAAATGCACCAAATCCAAAAGAAAATTGAAATTCAATATCTAATATAAAATTCAGGAAAAACTTCTCAAAGTTTGTATCACGGTATCATCTTGCAGTTTAACTCAGATTACAAACATATTGTCATGTTTCTCTACAACTGTAAGTAGAAGACTTTTTATATCACATATATATATTTATCATATATATACTTATCAGAAGTGTTAGCAAAAGGAGAGTTAATGCTTTGGTAACAAAAGTTTCAATGCATCTATAATAATTTTTGGTTTAAACTTCCACTTGTGTATACCCAACCTTGAAATTACGTTTGCAAATAATACAGTTCTACATGTAAAAAGCAAATTATATAAACAACACTCTTTGTTAGCCACACTGACTGCTTTGTAGAAACGAGCTAAGGTTTATATACATATACTATACATATATGCTTGCATTGCATACAAATGCATGAAAGTATTCCCAGAATTGCTACTGAAAGCTTGTCCCTTAATGTACCCTAACTCTATATCTGCTATTTGAAACCATGGAGTTTACTTTCTTTAATATACTGCATTACAAAATGCATACAAAAAAAAAGAAGCAAATTGCTCTCACAGTGCTCCGCAAAAATTTTCACGTCCTCAGCTTCTGAAACATTTAAGATTATTAACTTGCTGGCAAGTTCCTGAGGAATCTTAAGGCATCTGTGCCTGCACTACTTATTTTAAGCTCTGCCTTCCAATGTTTTGAAATCAGCAGACCCTCTTGACTTTCTTAGTAATTGCATTTTATGTGGTTCTGGCTTTTAGACAGATTCAAGAATGACATAATCTTCTTTTCCCACCCACAGATTTTGGACTGTTGCCGTCGGTTACACCCTTCCGAGTAATGTGCAGCACGAATCCTTGTCTGATCCCATATGCCCATAAATGGAAGGCAGCCCAGCACAGATGGCTAAAACACAGTTTCTTGGCTGGCTGTCGATCCCCGCCGTAGGTAGAGTAAGGCTTCTTTGTTTTTTTCCTATCAATTAGTATTACTTAGGCTTCAGTGCAGGAATGTCAGTCCAATGTCATACTCTGTTAAAAGAAAACGGGCTGATTTCTCTCTAAGCTTTACTCCTTTTGCTGAGAGAACAGATATCTTCTGGAACACAGCAGCAGCTGATAAACAAACTACGCAAAGTGCTTCTTTTGCACTTTTTACTGAAACATTTATACAAATGCGCCTAAAGTACAGAAGTTTGTCACTCTTTACTTTTGCAAAAAAAAAAAAATTATACTTTGCTACTGCGTATTCATCAGTACTGTAGCAGTCATACATTCAATCATTAACAATGCCGGATTCAAGTACCAAGCCATACAACAACAGGATAAACATTGAGAAAAAAAAGGCACTTTACGGAGTTGGTCACCAACGTTATAGAACTAGAAATAATTTACAAACCAGTCCCACTGCCCAATCTCACACAGCGTCTCCTAACTTCCTGAAGACAATGCGAGAGTTTGCACGAGTAAGAAATATGGCATGTGAATTCAGCATAGCAGGTAAGGCCCCTAGCTATGCATATTGTAATGCTAAGGCACTATCAGAAAGTGAGAGCAGGATGTAGCGCCCCATCCTGTGTCCACAGAGTGCCTTGTGCTAGCCACAAACTCAGAGTTTCAGAGAAACGAGTACTCCTTTGCCCTTGGAAAGTGTAACATATGCAGCAATGGCACAACGCAGTTTCTGCCTTGGCCATTCACTCTGGGGTTCATTGGTTCATAAAGCTGAGCAGCTTTAAAGGCAGACAATGCCTCAGTGGTCAGTAGAAGATAGGACAGAGAGATATGCCTGTCTTCTGCCTTGTACTTTCTACACAAGTTTATATAACATTTTACCCTGCAGCTTCAGCTCTAATGACAAATCGGCCTGTATGCCTCTGCCACTAAAAACGTCTACCAAAACCCACCATTAATTTCTTAAGGAAATTAGTTTGCATGATTCCTCTCCAGAATATCTACTCTTTACATTTAGCTTTTTCATGCTTGGTCAAACTCTAAAACATTGTACCATTGTCATAGTATCTTGGACCTCCTAAGCTACGGATTACTGGGAAACAACACTCCTGTCAAGCTTCAGGGATGTGAGAGAAACTCATCCTTACTATGTGGCAATTACATTGCAGCTTAAAGGACGGGCACTGAAACTTCCAGCCAAATAAAAAAGCATGTATCATGCTCAAGGAAGCACTAGCCACGTCCAGAAGAAATGGAGAAGAAAGCCTCAAGTTATCACCACAAAAATGAATGACTTAACTTGAAAAGAAAAATGTCTTGGTTTTTAATTTCTTCTCTTCTTGGGTAATGGGTCAAGTCTGATAATAATTGGGCAATATGAGAGGATGACTGGACATCAGGATGTGATGTCTAAAGACAGAAGAGGAAAAGCTAGAAGACAGGGTTCTCATAAGACTTTTTTTCATGATCAGGTAGACTGTTGTAGCTTCATTTTAGCCCTCTTCCGGCTAAGATCAGCGCAGCTGAGACTTGTGCCTTTATCTCATTCCTAGCAGTGTGTGATAATCCAACCGAACAGGTATCTAGCAGGAAGAAAACTGAGATAGGCTAGAAAATGGGAGAAATCGATCATGACAGTCACCAAAGAGTGGAATTTCTATAAAATGTAATAGGAAATTTCTATGTGAAATAGGTCCAGAGGACTGCTTCTTTTGCTAGGTTCTGGTCCCAGTGCAAACTACAGTACTATTTGTTTCCATGGTACAAATTACCTGGCTAACAGGTTACAACATTTTTAAAAAGGGATAATATCTAAATCCTATAAAATTCTACTTCAGCCTTATCAAAAAGCCCACAGCATTCTAAAATACGTCTTCTCAAGGCAGCAGTTAAGTTCTAGGAAGTTTTTAAGAAGACAGTGAATCTGCCCTTTACTGACAAAATAAAATAAAAGATTATCTAGATGTCCAAGCTCTTCAAATTTTATTAAGTATCCTTAATTCTCTGTATTATGAGATCTATTGCTTCTAGTAATGCAATTATCGTTAACAGTTGTTCGTTCATATACTAAGAATGAGAATCTGTTTTATCTGCAACGGAATTGTAGTTATTTAAGACATTAAATTCACACACCCACCTTAACACACGCACAAAACATTTTAGTTTCTCATAATGACAAGCAATTCTACTACACAAGCACTTCCAAAATTATTTTTGAATGTTATACATCATATATTCTGTTACTATACATAAAGAGATGAGGAGCTATGAAAGCATATAACTTCTGCCATTATCTGGGAAATTTACAGATAATAAGAGTTTTTTTAAACAGGTAGGTAGAAGGTATATGTTATGATAGGCTGTATCCTCTGATACTATATTTCTGGAACAGCCATGAGACATAGGAACACCCTAAGTTGCACTGTCTCAGATCAAGGCTGAGAATCCCAAGTGCTTATCTAAGGTATTATAACAACCTTATCTGTGGGAATACTTGGGGCAAGTCATCAGCTAGAATCATCACACACTGGTTGATCTTAATGGAAAAGCAGAGCCTAAATTGCTGGCTAGAGCTGAGCAAATAGCACAAACGTTTTCTGTCTAATTTTTATGACACATCCCTATTAGGTCTGCTTTTTGATAATGTTCTAGAAAATGATTGTCAAGAATGTTGCAAAAACTAAAATTTGTATACACTTATTTAGCAGTATATTCACACAAAGCTAAAGCTGAATTCCTACACAAGGCTGGCTGTACTAAAGGACGACTCTGTGAGTAACACCCAGTTAATCAATAGACGGGAAAAACCAGATGATCCATCCACTCATCAAAACAACTTGTACTTAAAATAGTACATCATAACAAGTGACTCACGATCAATTGCAGAGCATACTGGACAGGTAAAAACTGTATTGCTCAAATGAATTATTTGTTACAGCGTATGCTCCTCACTCTGTTTCTAACGTTCCCTTATGTTCAATGAAAATATATCTACTTTCAAAATAGCTAAATTTAGGCCTTTTCTTTTTGATCAAAAGATCAAAATGAAATAAAACAAAAAAAAGCTTTAGGAAATATTGGAATTTTAGTGTTCTTAACCAAAAAGGCAAATTCCTACATTAGGTGTGTTTAAGCAGGTGGATGAGATGGCAATTTTCATCGATGTGTTAAGTGCTGGCAAATTGCTGTCCCCATTTAAATTGGCAATAAAAGTTTTACTGACTTCAATGAGGGAAGTTACACTAATCCAGAATAATGTACTGAAAATTCTGCTGCTAATTCTGGAACAGTTTAACAGGAGGAGTCTTCATTGTGCATACATATTACTGCATTATTTATTATACTATTTGGTTATTTTTCATTTCATTTCACTGGTAACATAAATTGAGTTCACTCTATTGAGATGCAGCTGACATTTAAATGCTAATGCTTTTAAGCCATGTACGTTTTCTTATTTAAAAATAAGCTTGCTAGTTCAGAAAAATAAACATGAAATAAGCCTAAGAAGAAAATCAATTTTACTGTCAGTTTTTGCCTCATGTAATTTTTTTTAAAGACTATCTTTCAGTTAGCAACAAGAATGTTTCATTCATTCATGGGTAATACTTTGGCTCCATGTGCATTTATATAAGTAAGAAGAATTTTGGACCTCCTTTCTATTACATCAATAAGCTTTTCAATTCCTTTCCTGCCTCCTTGGCTCTCCCAGTACACTTTGTCAAGGAACAAAGACTGAAGCAACTTCTCACGTAAACGCTGGCTCCTCAGCACTGAAACTGCAGATTCAGGGAATCTGGAAAAGTGCAAAGAAATTCATCAGCTTTGTCATCACTCGGAACTGCAATATTTATGTTGTGGTCTAGCAATCAATGCCATGAATATGGATGGTGACTCAGCAAACAAAGTCGATGCAGGCCTGACTATACCTAGGCTAACTGTCTCTTTTACATCAGTGAGATTAATCATACATTTTTAGACACATCCTCTAGATGTATTTCACAAAAGGGGGCTTTGGCTGGTGATATTTATTCCAGTAACTTAATGTCCCATTCTGTTAGATTATAGTATGGTAACTTGTAACAGCGCAAAGCGCTTACAGAAGAGCTTTCTACACTAGTAGGTTTACATTTGTGGAGTTCAGTCTTTTCTGTGTTGGATCAGTCATGCCTTTACCAGTGCATAGGGCACAAATAGTTCTGTAATGCCCCTGGCAACTTTTGAATGCTGCAAGTAGTATATTAAAAGTGTGTCTAGAGTAAAAGTAGTTAAGCTTTACTAACTAATTAAACCTCCTCACAAAAAGGTAGAAGAAACCTGGAGCTAATGCAACATTGACAATATAATAATTCCTTTTAAGCAGCTCAGGGAGAAGGGCAGGCTTCTCCTTCCTCTTCTGATCCTAGAACCCGGGCACGCTCTGCAAAGAGTGCTTTATTCCTTCTAAATGTTAAGGAGAGATTTTGCTTCCAACTGAAAAACTGAGAAAAATTTATCAGTCTTTTTACAAAGTTAGTAACTTTAAACTTACTCATTGATTCCTTGCAGTATTTTGAAGTCTAGATTGTCCTCGCTTCTGTCAAAGAAACCCTTATTGTCTATAAAAGCCAAGTGCCTTTGGTCATGCCTTCTCTGAACTATGTGCGTCAGGTCAACAGCATCTTGATCACTACATTTCAGCTTCAGTCCTTGCTGCATGCAGAAATCTTCCTTGAGAGGTTTGAATCCACAGCAGTTTCTGTCTAGTCGATTATAGATCTGAAATCAAGTACAGGAGAATACCAAATGAAAACAATATCCAATTATTTGGCGCAAAGTGTCACTAAAGGTATCGCTAACTAACACAGCTGACAGGAAAACAAGCTGAGAACAATTATAACGGTCCCCATACTTCATGTACCATTAGAAGCAACTTCCCAGACTATATATCAGATCTATTTTATAGCCATGATTTGTTATGTCAGTGAAACTTCTTTGAAAGTAATGGACCAATACCACTGTGTAACGGGACTAACAAGATGGTGGATGCAGTTCAAGATTTTTCAAAAGGCTATAGGTTTTTTGCATTTTCTCTGCTGAAGTGCAACAGAAATAACACAGTCTAATCCACATGAAGGATCTCCATTTTGTGGACTCTATTAGACAAAATAGTACACAAAAAAAAGAGTTGAAAAGATTAGTAAGGGACAGAGTAAAGCAGGACAAGCTACAAAATGCAAGAATGGAGCCTGCATTTATAACCGTAAAGAAGTCTTCCTGAGTTGCACTGGGGTATATATGTTATAGACTTTATATAGTCTAGATATTGTGGTCTAGACAGGTATTGTTGCCTGTGTGAACCCCTGCTTATTCATAGCACAGTACTCAGTGAGGAAGGAATACTCTGATCTAACTTTAGTAGCGTAAACGTTAAGCATCTCTTCCGACCAGTCATTTATGTTCTATTCATAAACAATGGCAAGAAATAGGCACTTCCAGAGCAAAGGATGCTATTTGAAAACAATTGTCTAAAATGGGAAGGATAATCATTCTTTAAAGGTGCTTCTACCCTCTGTTGACCAGCTGAGAGTAGATGCCTGACAAGGTCAGAGCCCTGATGGCACCAATGTGCCTTAATGGCCCTGAACAGCCTCACCTGGTCCCCCACCCATGCACCCTCTGCCCATGGGCCCAGGACTTCATTTAAGCTCAGGCCTGGCCTCTCAGCCTTGGCTTAAGTTATGCTGGAGGTGTATCTGCTTCTTGTCTTGTCATCTGTTGACTCTGAATTGTTGTTTGGGTTTCCTTGCTTGACCATGGGCCTGATTTGTTACCTAGTCGTTGCCTGACTCTCCCTGGACTGCTGCTGCTGTCACCGCCCTGCTCTGCTCACCTGGCTCAGGTAGCAGGGCACTATGCCTTGTTGGTGTGGGCATGCTTGGCTCCCAGCTTGCCTCCCCTTTGGGAGCAACCCTGCCCTTGCTGCTCCCTGGCAGATGTTTATACAGGTAAGGTGAATCTAAAACTTAATGAGTAGCTACTCAATGGTTTTTATTTTGTATTTTTTTAATCCTTCTTGTTTGCTGTATACCACCAGCTCTTCAAACTTCTCTAAGTAGTTCACATAGACAGAAAGCCTCCTAAAACTATGGTTTTATTTCTGAGACATCAGTGAAAGGAGGTGTTATGACTATTCCCCTGATACAGACTATGGTGCACGTGAGAAAGGTCCACTAACTATGTTCATCAAGTGAAAGGCCTAGAGTTTCACTTTTCTCAAGTATGCAACAGTGCTGCTATTGGCCTTGGTGACAAACCTGAGGAAAGGAATAGACTTTCTTCTTTCTTTCTTTTTAGGGCAGCATTCAGTATCTTCAGATTCTCTGTTGTTTGCAATTTTCTACCTCACTGAATTTCTCATTTAACTCATTTCAAGTTTTGCCAAAAAATGAAATCCAAATAGACTCCTTCAACATATAGTCCTAATTCATCCTCATTGCATTTCACTAGATGCACTAACTAGGTGAGGAGATCATGTTCTTGAAGACAGTATCTTTACAATATCTTGCATCATTACAACATTAATTCCAGCCTGTCCTAATATTTAATCTTTATTTTGCAACCTTAATGGCTTAACATTGATTTTTATGTCATATATTTATGTACATAAGAGGTCCAAAAACTAAAGAAGCCATTTTACTTATGCCCTTATTCTATCTGAGGTCTTGTGCAGGGCAAGTGAAGGTCAAATGTAAGCATTTTTCAGCCCCTCCTATGTTTGAGTATTTGAAAGTAGAAATTAGGTACATCTATTAAGGGCACATGATCTATCCTTTTGACAGGAGCATGTTTAACAGAGAATATTTTTTACCATTACTCTGTATTTCCAAATGATTTATGAAGCACGGATTTTCTGAGAAGAATAATGTTGCATGGTTCACCAGATCACACTTTACCCTGTAAAGATATTTTTCTTGTTGTTCAGTCCAATTTTTTTCTTTGCTCAACTTCATACTGTTATTCTCACTAATGTCCTCTTTAAACATCTTGAACATTTCCTCTGCCTTCTCGATGCTTACACTCCTCAGAAAATGTAAGCCAGTTACTGTATCTCTGTAACACAGTCACTGTTTAGCCACATATATTTATTTTAATCTTGCCTCATGAATCTATTCTTAACTATCAGTTACTGTTCTCTAAATTCACTGCAGTTTATCTGCATCACTCATTCTTATTCGATCTCAAATGTACAGAGAAGAAAAAGAAAAGAAAATCCCTTCCCTCATAGAAATGTATTTCTGTGATTTTTTTTTTTAGTATCACTTTGCAAACAGTTATTTTCTTCTGATTTTTGTCCAGGTAGATTCCACAAAGGCTCTCCCTATTTCACTAACACATGCAGATTCTTAACAGAATACTGTAATTAAGTAAGGAGCTCCTGGAGTGATCTCTTAATTAAAGCTACTTTTTTTGTTTAATTTTGTTTAATTTATGCACACAAACACACACACAAATATAAGCAAGGAGATGTGAGTAGGCTTCAGCCTTTTCCAGGTATACAGACCGATTTGGCAACAACTAAGACAGTTAAGTTCCTGACCTTTTTCCTTAATTATAAATTGGTGGTGTTTTGGTTTTTTTTTAAGTTCTTAAAATTAAGAAACTAGCAGAAACAAGCTCAATCTGGGCAAAAACAGGTTTTCCTCAAAAAAAAAAAAACAAAAATGATTTTTTGAAAAGTCCCATTTGTGCTCAAAATGACTCTTTCAAGGGTGATATTTACATTCAGTAAATATTTTACCTGAAGAAGAAAATCAAAGAGTGCTATCTTGGACCACTCATGATGATGGATTTCAGTACAGCCCCATTCAGCTTTGGGTACTTTACCATTCAGCCAGCATTTCTGCTTCAATAGTTGCTGGTATCTTCCCCATGTTAATCTCGCTGAAGAATGGGTAATATTATCTGTTGGACTCAGTGTGGAATCCCAGAGAATAACAGGGCAGGCTTGACTGTCTGCGAAAAGGAAAAATAGAATCATTACTATGTTGGAATAATGTCAGACTGACTTGATTATTCTTTATACATCAGTAATTATATGTGTTTACAGATGTTGCAGAAAAATGCCAAGGCCTAATAATCTGACATCCTTTGGTTAATGGTATCTTATTCCACACCTAAAACCAGCTACTACAGGAATGGAATAAACGGACATTATGAATGTCTTCAGTGTACAGAAGGCTTTCTCTGTTTGGAAGAAGAGATTAATGTATAAAAATCATATATTAAGCCAAACTATTAAAAATGTTGTAGGTAGATTAAGAGCCTACAATGGCATTGTGAATCAATGCTGTAACATTCCTGTGAACTGATGATGACTTAAGAGAGCTGAAAACTTGGCAAAGACAGACTACAAAAACCATACTCAAAGTGGATTTATTTTGTCATCTTTTGTATTTTAGGCCTATAATGTATGATTTCACAGTTCTGAAGTGGTATGAGAATGCTGGAGAGTGAGCTTAGCATGAATAAACACCTAGATAAGTATTTTTTATACTACTCAGCTACAACACATGGTATCTGTTTTATATAGCAGATATTTTGGCCTAATTCTTTCAGTGACCAACAGCAAGGCAAGTAAAAGTTGTTAATGTGCATGTTCAATCTGTAACTAGTGAGAAGGGTTAAGAATGAATCTCCACACAGCTGAATCAAAAGATAACTTGTTCAAAGGATGTTGACTGATCTAAAACAAAGGCAAGGAATGACCTTTGTTCATAATTAGCAATTAATCATATGTAAAGATGGATTATGCCTCTGATGACAGAGCACAATTAAGCAGAAATGCAACCAGCTTCACTAGGAAAAGCAGAGAAAAACAGTCTTCTCTCCAAAACCAGACAATAAATCTCCTCTCGGTCATAGCATACACATATAAGGTAGTCCTTCTCAAGCCAATCCAGCACATAGCTCCACCAGCTCTTTAACTCTCCTCCTGGTTGTCTGATGTTTCCTTAGCAACCTTGAAAGTGCCTTTCTCTTAGGAACTGCAGTCCCTCTCATGCTATGATCATCAGTACCACCTTTGTCAGCACCTTGTATCACCCTCTCTCCTCTGCTCACAGAGCGTCTCTCAAACAAAGCTTCTTTACTGAGGTACCTGAATACAGATTTAGGAATCTGACTTGGGAAATCCTGGCCCTCTCCCCATCTCTCTTACTCTGGGATCTCTCACTCTGACTGGCTCTATCACTGATGTTGACTTTGGCCAAGCCAGTTCAGCTAAAGGCTAAGCTTTTTTTCCAAGCTGCTTGGAGAAAGTCTATGTATTGGGAATTATCACGAAAAATAAATTTTTCTTCAGAACCAAAAATGATCTATTATTTTTATATCCCTAATAACAGCCTAAACAAGTATTCCTGAATTTTTCCACAAACCAAACATATCAACAGTCGTCTAGCAAAACAACATCTCTTGCTTACCCAAAAGAGACATGATAAACAATAGTAATATAAATACTTGAAAAATATGAACAATATCTTGCCAATTTCCATTAAGATAAAATTTTTCTTTTTAAAACCAAGGCTAAATACAGGAAATGTTTGTGATTCAGAGGAAATGGGAGCAAAAAAAGATGAGCCGAAACATAACCTTTCAACTTTGCAATATAAATTGAATTACAGGAACATAGAACAGCAGCTTCAGTAAAGAGCAGTAACTCAGACTGCTGACACTCACAGGAAAAACATGAAGATGCTGAATAAAAACAGATAAGGGGTTTGATTAACAGCTGCATGAATTGGCTTTACCCCACTGAAGTCAGTGGAGCTCTTCTGACTCAAACTTCCCGAGGGCGGAGCTGAAGTTAATTGAGCAATGAAAAGTACAGCCTAAACTATGAATCAGAGTTTGGTACAGCAGAGATCAAGGAGGTTCAGCACCTTTGAGAGTAAGTCCAGCACGTTCTGGGAGGCCTCTTTCCTAATTGGTCTCACATGGTAAGACAAAGGTTTAGTACTTTTGTTGTTGCAGCTGGATTGCTGCTTTAGGCTATCCAAAGATGCCACTGCTCTCTGGTACAGCAGTATCTGAAGACTGAAATAACTTCTCAGAAACCCACCATGAGAGAAGGAAATACTAAAAGGGACCTAGTGAATCTTGCCCAATGCTGGTTAACTTGATTTTTCTTTTAATCTGCCATTTAGATACATATACCTAGTTGGGTACTGGAAGATTAAGAGATTTGTAAAATTGCATGGAAAAGATTGTCAAAACTGGTATTGCAACCATCTTCTTGGTAACTCACAGGAATTTTTACAGCATCAAAATACTTCTAAAAATGTTAGGCCCTTAGGAGCCACTGATTCAGGGTATCCTAAGCTCAGTAAACTAATCCAGCTGCAACATCATGTTACTGAGTCTAGACTGCCCGAGGTAGTGACTGCTACATTCACAGTTAGTTAATGTATTACTACATAGCTGCTTCTACATAGGCATCATCTAGACACCCACATTCCACTTTAAGGATTGGCTGTATGCGTCTTAACTACATAGATGCTCTTGCAAATGTTACTCTTGCTTATCTAAAGCATTTTCTCTAACTTTCTCATGAGAAAAATATTTTCAAATATACCCAAGAGACCCTCAATAAAAAGAGCAAATCTTTCAAGAGATACTTAAAGCTCTATCTCAAACTCATCATCTCACACTGTAGTACAGTACAGATTACCACTGCTACATTTGAAAGAAATAGTTTTTTTACCCACATATTAGTACTAGGGGATAATTTACTGTGGAAAGATGAGAGCAACTGACATAAAGAGCACAGAAGAAAGAGTTATACATAATATAACAAGGGCTGAATTTCAAAGTTTTTTAGGTCAAGCTTTGAGAGAGGAAAATATATGGGACAGAAGCAGAAGGTACTTTTTTCAGGGGGGAAATATTGGGTAGAAGGTACTTTATTTTGGGGGGAAATATTGGGAATATGGCCTCTAGTACCTCTGAGGTACAACATCATGGGTATAAGCTGTTTCAGGTTGATAAACAGAACCTGAACAAGATCAACTGAAGCATTTTGGAACAATTTGAATGTATAAGGCAGTGTTAGTTTTCCTTATTCTTTACCCTGCCTTTCTTTGCCTGCTTTTGTATAACTTTTGATGAGATGGTAAGGGCAGGCTGAGAGTGCAGGCTGTGACACAGAAAAATCTATGGCCCCATTTATCATCATATAGAGGCCAGTAAAGCAAAACAACAAGTATGATCAATAGAGCCATCTATCACACCTGTGCCTTTCATATTTGCACAAAACTAACAGTGAAAGCTGTTAGTCAAAGGAATAGCTTCCTGCACATGTAGCATAAAAGCAGCTCTAAGCAAACAGTGGGTTCAATCTTCAGCTAGGAAAGCCCCACTAAACTGAGTACACCTGTGCTTATTCCTCTCAGCACAGGATCAAACATATTTAACCAAGCTCACTATATCAGAGAACTGTGGGTGGTGGGCAGCATGTGGTAGCTCAGTCCATGAGCAAGAGGTGTAATTCAGCAGGAGCTTTGTGCTGAGCTATGAAGCTTGGCTGTGGTGCTTGGATCCAAAGAGCCAGAGTCCCTTCCTCCTCCTTGCAGATGCAGAGCAGAGAAGGAGCACCTGCTGCAACTCATTGTCCTCCAGCAGTGGCTCAGGCCCTAACACTGGCATTGTCCTGCTCCGCAAGTGCTGGTGCTGACCTAGAAACAACCTGTGCAGTTGTTTTACTTAGCTTCTGTGCAAACTCATTAGGGTTGGGCTGTGACTCCAAGCTGTGACCCCAAGCACGGTCACCTAAGCAAGTCTCAGCTTGATCATCCAAACCTAAGAAACAGAAATGATTCTCAGTCTTGCGGTGTTAATGCGACTATCCTAAAATTGGGACACATGAGTCATCTACCACTTTCTCCATAATAGACAAGAGTTTTATGATAATTTCTTGTTCCTTTACAGGCCAAGCCTTTTTTTTTCTTAGCTGTTATGAGGCTCACAAATTCCTCACACCTTGTATTTAGCATTATTAATAATTAAAATCTGCTTGCATATGCCCACAATTGTACTTCCTTAGTTTGTAACATGGAAGTCTAAGGAGCTTTACCCATCTGTATTCTCCAGGGTTTTTACATTTGGCCAATCAGTCATAAAAATACGAGTGAAAGACTTATCATGCCAGATTTTTCCATCCATGCAAGGTAGACAAGTCATAAAAAAAAACTTAAATTACTTAACACTGCAAAGGGTTTACAATTAACTAGGGAAGGCCATCGGACAGAAGAGTTGTACATAGTATCATGCCAGACTTTTTAAGTCAGTGGGGAATTGTGGGAATAAAGGAAGCCAAATCTGTATGGGGATCTAGTAAGTGCTTTTTAGAAAGTGCTTTTGACAAAATGAATGACAGTTTTGAGAAGCCCATTTATTAAGATTTTAATGCTACATCAAACTTGTCTCATTATATCACATCACAACTGAGGCAAACTAAAGGGATGTGTCATGGAGATATGTGAGCCCAGAAACTGTGTACATATACACGCACAGTCTCAAACCCTGTATTGCTTTCTTTCCCCTATGAAAGAAAGCAGGAGCTCATGATGCTCATGATTCACATGAGCAGCCCTGTAAAAACATTTGGAGTGCCCATCTAAACTTAAATGCATCTGGGTTATAGAAACGAGCTTGTTAATTGTTCATATTGGTTTTAAGGACATATTTTTGTCCATTTTCACAAAGATGTTTTCTATTAAAATATATAGTTAATTTAGGAGATTATGCCAAATAAAAGCATGTAAATATTAACAAGCTCAACTAGATAGTAGGCATCTGAGCTCCAGCGTGTTTCCAGGCTAAAGGAACGGAGAGAGACAAGGTACAGTAACTCTTCCAAATCCTCTGTTCACCCTTTAGCTGGAAAAAATGAAACAAGACCAAAATAATGTTATTTCTCTTCTCATCACCTAGCAACACTCTTCTTGCTATAGGAACATAACCAGTTATGAGGAAAAAAGATTTAAAGAGAGCAGAATGATCCCCCCTCTGTCCCAGACAGCCCAAAACATGTTGAAAGGTGAAAGATATTAAGCAACACAATGCACAATTAGCCTAATAGGAATTTTCAGGAGGCTCGCAGTCTGTCATCCGTAAGCCACACTGTGCAGAATTCCTCTAACTGAACTACCTTAATTCCTCATGACTGCTCTATAGTAATAAATCTTGTTCCTAAAAATAAACTCTGCCTCATGTATCTTCCGTGCTCTGCAAGTATTAATAATATTCCAAAGCCACCGAACTGTTATTCCTAGAGATTCACGCACATTGTTGTACAGGCTGCCAAAGGGAAGGTTTACAAAGTAGGAATAAATCAGAGGTCACTAGGTCCTCTTCCTGCTATCAGATTTTAGAAAGTCATTCTTGCTTTACTTTTTCTTTGAAGAAATACAGACTACTATTAAAAATATTTTGTATAAGCTAATTTCAGCAGCAAGAAATGAACAGCAAAAACAAATAGCTACCCACTTTAGCAATGATTCATTAAAATACAACGTAGTCCTTTTGGATTGTGATTTGTGAGGTATAAAAATAGCAGTTAGGCTGAAGACATATTTAACAAGATAGCAATGTTAGAAGTAGGCTTACTTCCATCTCACATTGCATGTCTGAAATCTATCTTTAATTTTAGTTTAGGACAAAAAAAAATCAAGCAAACAGATTAAAATCTGTTTACATCCGTCATGCTACAAGCATATTCCAATGTCTACTGTGCATATTTATTTTCTACATAATATATACGTGTAGATATGTGTAACAAGCCTCAAAACGTCAAGCAGGATTCGTCGAGATATAGTAAATTTTTTGAGCTGCTGGGGAGAGGGAAGAATGTTTTTATGTTTCAGTTCCTGGAGGTATTAGTACTGTCAGAGTTGTATCAACCAACTTCAGGAACTTCCCTTACCTCTCAGAGTAGGTTCTCTGGCTAAATATAAAACTTCTTTCCTACCATTTATTTGAGACAGATGAATTCTTGTGTTCACTTTCAATAATATTTTGTTAAAGTGATGGTCTGACAGAGGTGAAAACGTAAGAGAAAAAATATTCAGAATTACCTATCAAATCCCAGGATATTCTTCTGGCTTTTCTTTCACCAGTTTCACTTTAGTTAGTCTGTACAATGTGGTGTTCCCTACAAACCTTTTTTCCCATTCCAGTCTTTCATGGAAGGTAAGTTGTTATTGCTCTCAGCAATTCAGTTATTCTATTGGGTATAAATTTCAGCGTATTGCATCCCTTTGGACAGGACAATACCTCTGCAGAAGTTACATACAGACATCAGCTTTATTCCTCTGTAATGATAGGATTAGTTCTCAGCCTAGCAAGAGTTAAAGCCTGCTGCTGCCTCACTGTTAATGTGGGAAGGGGAGGGAAACCTCAGCACCCCACCTGGAAGCTGAAAAATCATAGGAATGTGTTACCTGGGAAGAACTCCGATTTCCTGCTTACAGAAGGTAAGCTCCTGTTTAGCCCCAAGATCCTATCCAAATGAAAGGCAAACACCTCACTCATATCAAGGGGTCTTTTGATGATGCCACAGTGCCCGTGATTACAAGCTGTTCCTGGGGTGTGGGAACCTCTCCCAAATACTACGAGGACTCCTTTATGAGAAGGTACTTCTTGGATACTCTCTATTGGAGCATCTGCCATCATACGCATACTTAAGATGTCGTCTTTGCTCAGCCAAGAGGGAGAGCTCTCGCTGTAAATCCTGATGTTACTTTCCTGAGCCTGGGGCTGTGACTTTATACCTCCAGAAATCCCCTCAGGTCTCCAGTGACCCCTCCCCCTGATTGCCATTTCTTTATCCCTGTGTTCATTCAGTTGGTGCCTCCTCGTCTCTGGAGCTATTGCTGCTCCCGCTGTGCCTGCAGCATGCACGGCCCTTCCTGGTTGCTGGGCAAAGGTCTCTTCCCTGCTGGTGAAAGTAGCTTTTGGAAAGTGCTGCCCATAGGACAAAGGCATGGCATGTTTCTTTCTGCGCTTTGGCTTCACGGTGCCTCTGATATTGGCAGGCTTGCTGCGCTTGGATCGCAGGGTGATATAAACTACATTGGGTGGCACTGAGGTCCCATTGCCACCCAGCTGAAGTTCCTGGAGACTGGGTGGGGATAGGGTGCCATCCAGTGGGATGCCCAGAAAAGGAGTTTGGGCTGCATCTTGGAGGCTTCTGGAACTGGTCTTTGAGTGTCCTCCTTTGTGCTGGGGTAAAACATGACCCACCTGACTGACGAGGAAGCCCAGGTAGATCACACAAGCTGTGCCCAGTAGCAGATTCCTTCTCGTCCTTGGGCGCCTGCAAGTCCAGAGCCTCAGCACTCGTGGTGGGCACAGGGGGCAAATTAACCAGTTTTTGGTTTTCCCTGGCTGATCAAAGAAGGTCATTTCTCTAGCGAATCCACATGATGAAAACAATATAAAGTCTTCAGTACGTTCCAACCAGTATAATGATGCATGATTTCCCTTCCCTGATTTCTACTTCTCCTTTTCCAAATAGCTTCCAGCATGGGTGATGGACAGAGGCTACTGATATGCCTGGGAATGTGTTTAGGACTAAAGATGCTAACACTCCACTTCAACAAGCTGTTAAATTTTTATCAGCTGCCACGGGGGAAGCGATTGGCTTCAGAGAATGAATGGAAGCAACTACGTAAGCAAAGTTTACTGGCTTGTGGTCTAAAATAGCTGAAGTTCTCCTTTGAAACTGCCAAGAAGAAAAGAATTAGAAAAGAATTAGTAGGAGCATTTCATTATTCACACAAGTAATACAACATCTGTGGATATAATATGTAAGAGAGACAGAGAAGTTTTAGATGAAGCAGCCAGTATGCATCTAGAGACCTGCTAGCATACATCTTTCACTTTCTAATTACAGTATTAATTAAATACCAACATCATGAAATACAGGCTTAATTGGCCATCTCAGTTGTATTCTAACATTAGAAGAAAAGCTTGTCAAACCCAGATCATCAACTTTTATTATGAGACAAAGTCCTCCCTAAACCTCATGTTAATGCAGTAAACTATACAATATTAACTAACCAGTAACTATAGCAGTTTAATATGCAAATATTCCCAAACTGAAAAATATATTAGCAGTGCCAAATTTCCTTAGCTTAATATGAACACAGTTCATATACTTCATAAACCCAAATTAAAGATGAAAGATACTTAATCTTTACAGACTTGTGAAGCCATAAAATAGGATCTGGCTATAGTTTTTCAAATAGAATGAGAGTGGCTTATACATCCTCTCAGAGAAACAAAGATAGACTAAGTACACATTGTATACTTATTACAAGAACAATTAAAAAATCTCTTACCTATTCAGCTTGACTCATCTTTTGTTCTGCTAAATTCCTTAGGTTAATACAAATAACTTGGTAAAAGCTGACGTTCTCCAAGTATTCTAGCACATATTTCATTTTTAAGTATGGTCCACAGTTTAGGTATTTCATTGTAGGCTAAATACTGTTAGGAAGCTAACTGTACTGAGAGGTTGTTTGCATATGAACTGCTATAAACTTACATGAACCTCACGTTATAAAAAAAAGAAACTTCTATTTTAAATTCTGTAATGAAAAGTCCTGTGAAGTATGCGCCTTCTAAAAGTACATTCCATCCATTTCTAACTCCTGAGGGCCCTCTAGCGCACTGCAAGCAAATGTACTGAAGAAATCCCCATCTTCTACAGTTAGCAAAAAAAAAAAAAAAAAGCCCTCAGCATTTTATAGCATTTGAGAATCCTATGTCTATCTATCATATCTATCAAAATAGATAGTGGCTTTTAAAATCTCACATGAAATTAAGCAACTACAGAGTGTGCTTTGTATTTGTGCTTTCCAAAATGAGACACAGCATTGTCACTAATAGATGGAAAACTTGAGGCAGGGAGAAGTTAAGGGCTTGCACAGGATTAAACAGTGAGACAATAGCAAAGCTATGTCTTCTAACTCCTCGCCTCGTCTAAGTATAAAATTATATGTTTGCTGTAATTCAAACTAATAAAGAAATACCCATTTCCATAACTAATGCTAAGGGAAACATCACTAAGGAGCTGGTTTATGTTTCAGATGGGTCCGATTTGAGTTTATAAAACTTCATATAGGTGGACTTTTTTTTTTCAATGGCCATTACTTTTCTTCACTCTTTGTCTAAAACATGTACTGTGGAGCTAAGAACTCATGATTCCTGCCCACTACCAGGCTAAAACCAGGGAAAATAAGGGTAATTAGGTACTGTAAGCTGACAGAAGAATTTCATGCATATTTACATATAAGCATGCAGAAAATATTAGAAATGCCTAATATACACTCACACCTTAAAGAATAAATAATGTAAAGTAAATAGATCTTTCAATTATACCTTCTAGATTCTGCATTGACTTACAGTGACAGCAAATAATTCAGCAAGGAGCTTTTACTTCACTGTATTTCTTTCAACAGTCTTAGAATTATTTCTAGTTTTTTAACCTTATATTGCTGTTGGCACCAAGTCACTTGAGTTAGATAAGTTATCACATTATTTCACAACGTGCAGTTCTTCCATGTAGACAATGCCATTACCTGACCATTACAATAAAGCAGTGCTGAAACCCAGCCAGTTTAAGCTCCTAACAGTTTTCTTTTGCTATAATACTTCTAAATTTTGTAACCTACACAATCTTCCTACTGTAACTCTTTAAGAGATTATTTGGAGGGGATTATAAAAGGGTTTAGAGTAATGTTCTTCATTCCTGATTTCCTATGGCGCCTAGAAATTTAAATATGTGGTCCCACTGATGCACAGTGTTAATTGTTGCGTTTTCTTTAGGTTTTTAAAATGTGATTATAGCAATAATATTTCTTTTATTCTTCACAGAGAACTCACTCTTTAAATGTTGTACTGCCAAAGTTTGTGGAATGGAAAGTGCCTAGAATTCAACAAAACAGGAATATCCTGTATATGTACTGTCCTGCTAATTTAGGAGATATGTGCCTCTAAATTTCATAACTGGATCTTTAAAAGGTAACATATCAAGAAACACTCCTTTTTTGCTCTTCAGTACAACTCCACTACCCTACCAGATTCCACAAAATAGTCAAGGGTGGAATGGCTACGGACTTGTTTGGAAAACAAACATTTCTTTGTGTTTCAGAGGACACAAAGAAAATGTTTGCTGTTCAGGTTGGCAGTACTCTTCCTTCTAAATTATTATTAACCCAAAGCTGTAGTGGAGCACTAAAGAGCATTGCTGAGCTTAAAGGGTACTTTATCTGTGGTCATAAAAAATTCCAGAGCAATTTTTTGAAAGAATAGACTGAACAATGCTATTTGTCTGACCAAATTCCAGCCTAGGTTATTGCACTTGGCCTACCTATATTTAGCCAGGAATGTCTGTATTTATTTCTTGCTCTAAACTATTTTTGTGATATTGCTGTCTGCATCCATTAAAGTCAACTTCTTCTCATGTCTCTTCTTTATATACCCATATTCCATGGCCAGTGTTATCCCTTTCTAAGTTTAGGGGCACAGGAATATCAAAACTAACACAAGAGAATAGCAGCAGAGGGAAGAGAGGAATTTAAGAGGTATTTTCTAGTCTTTTTCATTCCTGGGCATAGCTTTGAAAATGTAAATGAATAACCAAATTACATATTTATGATTATTTCTTATGCTGTTTTTTTTTTTAACTTCTGAAATTCTGGCCAACTTGTGGGCAGCATGAGCAGCATCCTCGAGCAGCATCCTGCAGGAGATGAGTGCGCTCAGCCAATGACCAAGAACCACAAGCTCCAGCTTTCTGACTTATATGCTGGCAACCGAAAACAGCACCATTCAGTTACCTAAACTCTCTGCTCCAGTTTTAAACTTCTGAAACTGGAAGGACAGTAGTAACTCATTTTTTGGAAATAATGAAGATTCACTAATTCACCAGAAGGTTATTCAATCCTCCTGTTCATGTGGTTTATGCATAAATCCCATATGCAAGCCCTTACAGCCTTTCGCCTTTTTCATCCTTTTTAATCCTACTAATACAGCCTCTTCTTTCTCATCTGATTTATTATTCATGATCCTTTCCTACAACATCTGTCCTGGGTATTCTTCTTCCTTCTTTAATCTAGATTAAGTGCAGCCTTTTGGAGTAACGAATACTGTATCCAAAGAACTAAAGATAAATGCAAAGTACAGAGGAAACCATTTGCAACAACATGGCAATACAATATTATTATGAATACAACGAGCTACCTAGCAGCTAATACGTTTCCCTCCAGAATGCTAGATCGAATGCCAACTTTTAGAAGAAACAGTTCTATATTTTAAAGTAGCATATCTTTTATTTCTCCATCTTAACCTTACTTCTTGCTCCACTCAGCCATTTCAGTTTTAAGAGAGATGGGATTTTAAAATGATCACTTTTTAAATCTTCCAGGATGTCCCAGTTTGTTTTTTTCCATTATAGTCATTACTGCAGAAGCTGCTGTGATTTGGTAAAGAACAAAATATTCTCTGTGCTGGTTTGTAGAGCATTTTGCAACAAAAGACCATCTTTACGTGTGCAACATTGTTATGTTCATAGGAGGCTCTGAAATATGAATGCTGCCATTTTCCATGCTAGTAAATATCATGGACTTCCTTTCCCATACACATTCACCTCCAACAATCTACGATTTCAAGAAAGCCAAACGGCACAAATCAGTGAGTTAGCATCTCTCCATAGTCGATGTGTTTCATTCGCATGGTCAGTACCGTTTCAGGTACTGTGTGGATCAGGAAAACGATGCAGCAAAACCTGCATGGTTCAAAGCAGCAGCAGCGAGGAATAGATGCATATCAGCTCAAACAGGATGGAGACAGTAGTTAGAACTGGTTACTGATGACTCCTTTGAGATCTGTTCTTCCAAATGAAACCAGAGACAAGATTTTGGGTCACACCATATTGTTCAGTATCAGGAGTATTCTGAGGTCAAAACTCAAAACACCTCTTTCTCCCTGGACATTTGTAGGGATGTCATTTCATGCTAGGTTCATTACTGTGGGTACGCTTGTTTTCTCTATGCAGGTAGTTCAATATAAAAGATTAACATTTTGTATTAAATATGCTTAATAAAATAATGTAACATGCAGATTCATGCATGCCTTCAGAATAAATAGCATTTCTTTTTCTCCAAGCCGCGTTTGAGATTATAGCATGGGATGTTGTTCCTCTTGGATGCACTACAGCTAAACCATTTCCATAGAGACGTTCTGCAGTTCATCTCTCTAAATGTCACATGTACAGACATTTATGTTGAAATGATTGATGTGTGATACAGTCTCAGCTTTACAGAGTCTATGGGCCCGAGGACTTACTCTCAAGAAAAACTGTATATCATTATTATGGATAATGTGGATTTGATTTTCAAAATGCGAAACGTTACTTTTGAAGGTTTGTGCTGTGTTTTCAAGGAGATGGATTTGAGCTGCCGTCCGGAAAGTGTACTCCGAAAGGAGAGAGAGAAATGTTTGCTTCATGACTAAACATGCTGACTAACAGTCTACACTTTAATTGGTCTGGGTCAAATCCTTACAGGGAAATCTGCAAAAATCTCTTATTGATGCTCTGCAAAAAATTTTCTCACTCGGTTTTAGCACTTGAACAAAGTGGGGGCTTCACAGAGTAATTTCTGTACTTTGAAAAATCTGCTCTGCGCTGGCTGCCCAGCCTGGCTGCCCTAATTTAGCAGGGAGCCAGCCACCAATATTTTCCATGCCTTCCTGCTTATAACACAAGCAGTAGCCCCTGCCTCCTCTCCAGGCAGCAGATTTCTAAATGTCACTGCCTTCCCACAGCCCGACGACGCTCAGCACGCTCTTTCGGTCCTCTTTGCCTTGTAGGGACTACATCAACGGCCCGAGCAGCTCTGCAGCTGGCTGGCAGGCCTCAGCCGAGGCGGAAGAAATTGGCCGCTTTTTTGGCTGGCTCTGTCTCCCAGTGAGGCAGAAGCGCATTTTGGGCCTGGACACTGCCAGTCGGGCACCCAAAATTAGGGTGCCTTTTTTCCACGCGTGATATTAGGGCGGCCCCAGATAAAGATGAAAATAAAGACTCTCGAGGCCCCAGATACCACACGGCAGGAAAATCTGCCCGGAAGCTTACGCTACAGTCTTCATAGCAGCACAGAAATACTGTCTTCTAAACATGACTCGAAGCAGGGTGCTGAATTAGGAAAAAACATAGTACCGAGCACAGCGTGCAATGCATAGCATAGGGGGTCCGGCCTGCACACCCTCCGGGGCCGGGGGGGCAGAGGGAAACCCTGTTCCTGCCTCCTGGCTTTGAAGTTGCCCACACTCGCGGGCTTCCTATCCCCAGACAACCTCGCTCTGTGAAATACTCGGGTGAATCGCCACTAAAACATAAAATAATTAAAAGGCTCGTCAGATCCCGTTTAAGACGGGGGAGGGGGTTTATCACATC